ATTACTTTCCATCAATGGATGTTATTTATTTGAGTTCACTATAGTCATAAACTGGATTTAATAGGTTTAAGAGATATGTGTGTTTTCCAAAAAATGCATGTAAGCTACTCCATGTTATCATGAAAAAAAAAAAAAAACACGCCTTGATAAGGGTCTGGAAAAAATATACCAAGTAGCAAGCCTGTTTCTACACACTGCACGTTACCATCCCCACTTCAAACTCTTGTTCCCAGCTCTGCTCAGCTATCCCACATCACGTCTGTATTAATTTCCATCAGGAGCAGGCACAGCAACGCACTCTGGCATATATCGTCCCACACACTTGTCAAACATCTGAAAAGCATAGAAAGGATGTTGCACATGGTTCTGATAAAACCAGAGGTAAGCTGGTCACTGAGCACAGTTTACTTGTTCCTATTCTGCGATTCATTCTTTATGAAAACTGCATTGTTATCTCTTTAACATACTAAATGTCTGTGGGAAAAATGGCTGTATTATAATAAAATGCTAAAATTGGCTAAATGCTAAAATGGTTAGCTTTTCTTTCTTCTGCTGTCAAGTGTGTCCCCTTTTTTTTTTGGGTGGGAAAAAAAGGTGGAAGAGAAAAAACAGAAAACATTTTGGATTGTTTCCAGCTCACAAATGAAGCATGAAGCATGCTCTCTGTGTGACAATGTTTACATAATCTTTCAGCAACACAGCGTAAATGAACTTAAAGGTTTATGGAAAACTATCTAGACTCTGCACATGTGTTGATTGTCTGGAGTCAAAGGGCCCAGTGGTGATTTATGATACTGAAGATGATGATTTATGTTTTTGCCAAAATCCTGCTGTTATACCATAAACATATTCTATCTCTCCTCTAAACTAAAAACTTATCTTCTTAACATTCAGCGAAAGCTTCATCAGTGCAGATATAATTTTCCTGCAACCACCTATTCTACACTGATAAGAAGCAGCCTGTAACTGTGTTGATCATTTTATAAATAAATCATGAATGAGCTCATTAATGTTTGAACACAGCCTTCATTAGCACACTAAAATACTAAAGGTAAACTTTATACCTGCAAAAAATGTTAGCATTATCATCGTAAGCATGTTAGCAAGCTGACATTAGCATTTAGCTGAAAGCACTGCTATGTTAGTGTGTAGCCTCAGAGCTGCTCAAGCCTGTTTTCATTTAACAAAAGAAACAAGAAATTCTGAAATGTTAAGTGCTGTTTAAGTACATTCAGCTATACAAGGAGTTTGTCTACATGAAATATTCCAAAATTGGAAAGATTTTGATGGAAATCAGGAAGTGTCTGATCAAAGAACAAGTAAATATTGTTATGAATCTGATCATACATGTCAGCTTTCATTTACACACAAATTTGGAGGATTTTGACTGAAATCAGGAACCGTCTGATCAAAGAATAAGTAAAGTATAAATATTACCAGATATTGATGTCAGCTTTCAGTACTTTTTCAATACTTTGCTATGGTTTTTACCAGAAATTTACTGAGGTTCGACATCCAGCTCTACTTTGACTGGGGGCAAAGTGATTATTGTAAACAACTTTTGCAGCTTAACTGAACATACGTGTAGTTTTTAAAACATAGATATATAGAGATATATAAAAACTAAAATAGCCTACCCTGTGAAGACAGAAAGCTACCTACTTACAATGGAATGGGTTGATTATGCTGTTTTCATTTTTCAGTCTGTGTTCAGTCTATCACCTAAACCATCTTTCATGTTAGAGATCTTCAGAAGTCTATACAACAGGTAGAGTTTGTACTGAAAATCTTGTGATACAAATCTGCATCTCTCACGTTTTTTTTAACCATTAGATGGTATAAGACTTACAATGCACTTTACCTCAGGCACCAAACAACATAACATTTTACACTTCACTAAGTTAAAACTGCTAGTTCAGCTAAACACAAATGTATGTGTGAGGTAACACACATTAAACACAAAAATATGTCAACTAACATTCTGTAGATTGTCTTCTAGTTGAAGACACATCACATTATATTTTTAGCCAAGTGGAAAATTAAGCAATCCATCAATGATTTATCATAAAATCAACTGTCACCCTGACTGCACCTTCCCACTCCATAACTTTTTCTCCAAGTGAATGTAAGCTAAATTCCTCCAGTGCATCATATAGCCTCAAGTCCCCTGCGATACAAGCCAGAAACCACAATGTAGAACTTGTTTAGAGGCCAGTACATATCTCAGTAGAATGCAAATTGAGATAAATATGAAATCCAAGCCAGGATGAGAGCACAGCTGTGTTTTATTTGTCACTATGCCTCCTCTTCCAAGTGACTATCAGACGTAACTATCAGATGATAATCTTTTCTTCTTGTTCTGGAGGTAAGTACTGGTACGTCAGTTACTACTGATTGTTTGGGGTAAAGTTAAATCCCCTCATTTTTGCTATTGTGTTTACATGTTACATTAACTTAATTAATTTGAGTTAAATTGATTTATCCATTTGTGTTTAATCAATTGTCACTCAGCAAGCCTGGTGCTGCCTGGTGACATGCTGAGGATTTCAGTTGTCAGCCTTATAAAAGAGTTAATTTTCTAGCATGTATTGAACATAATTGTTTCTGCCAATCCAAAAACCTTATTGTACAAATCTTATTGTACTTGAGACCCCCTGAACTCGCTGCAAATTTAGTTGCCTGACTGAGTGACAGGTAGTATTTGATAAAGATCCACGGAGCAGCTCTCGACATGATTTGTGGGGACAGTGGAGCTATGCACTGAGACACAGAAGCTTGTTTGGTCAGATCACCTGATATGGCAAGAGATCTCTTCCAACACCATGATCCTGAGGCCAAGGACCTGCTGAAATCACAAACACAGAGGAGTACGGAGCTTTTCAAAACCCACTGAGGTGCAGAGGAGAGACTGAACTGAGTCAATAAATAATTACGCACCTATCAGTGACTACATGCGGGGCACACTTGGCTGGTATGGTTCAGGGCCTGACTGTTTATTATCTTTCATGAAACTATCTGATAAAGACTTTAGCTCCTCAGCTTCCTCAGCTCATATGTTCCCTGAGGGCAGCACATTTGGATTAACAGCAGACCAAGTGGAGCCACGTTGAATCACTTTGTATTTCTCTACTTTTCTTGGAGAAGCAAAAATTCTTAGATCTTCAGGTCACTGTTCAAGGCAGCAGAAGGATGTGCAGTCTCCAAAGCCTCCTCCTACAGCAAATAATAGAGAAGAAAACATGCAATGATGCTGGGTAATGAGTTATTTTATGGTCCATCAGTAAGCAGACAAGGATTAGGTTGTTGCTGATGATCACCGGTAGCCTGATAACCACACTGAATTACCATTTTGTTTCAGTTAATCCTTTCACATTTCATATTGGAATCACTGAACACATATAAGGCATGGTCAGCGATTCAGAGGCAGAGATTTGCAATCATCTGTGGTGTTTAAACCTGACAAGGTTTTTAGATGTGGCGTTGCATTGTGGCAACATTGAAGAATTGATAAATTGATTCCATTACTGTAACCAATCTGTGGAGACAGCTCATCCGCATTGGGATTTCTCTAAAGCCAAACCAAGCAGTGTAAAATTCAGGGAAAGTGTTTCTTAGATTCAAGCTGGCACCATTAAGCAATAGTAAATGTGAAAAATTTATTCAGGAAAAAAACAAAATACCATTCCATCCTGAATTTTAAAGGGGCACTTGTGATATTCCATGGAAAGTGTAGCAGGAAAGACTTTTTATACAATTTTTCTTGTCTTATTATTGTCATAAAAATACTCTTTATTTTTATTTATTCCCTATAAAATAAGATATCCTGTTTTTGAATATGACATTACACACAACAATGTATAAGCTAATAAATATACCTCATTAAAAATATTTAAAATACAGAATACGGAACAAAGTTTCTTTATTGCAAATTTATTAAAATTAAAACTCATACAGTTCCCGGGAAATTGTACATAAAGTGCTTTTTGTTAACAGGGTGTTCATAGTCTAAAGTCAGCACACATGAACAATCATGAAGGAACAGACCATTTCTATCCATGAGAAAAAATAAAACAGTGCGAACCTGGAAGGGGTTTATGAAAATCTGCAATCATGATGACCAGTGACAGTAGTACAATACCGAAGAATCCCATGTCTTGAATCCATGCAAAATTAGTGTCAGCTAAGAATCCCCCATATTTATTTATTTTTTATTTTTGGATGATGTCTGCATTAGCCTCGACTCTTTTCGAGCCAAACAATATCATACTGAAATTAAGAACTGTCCTAGATTAAAGGAATGAAATAAATTCTGTTCGTCATGGGATTTTACTGGCATATTATTGGCAGAATATATTAAAGAAGAGGGGGGGCAAAAAAAGGGCCCGATTTCAAAACGCTGGTTTTTGTTATTCCAGGAAGATAGACTTAACCACAGAACAATGTTGCCTTTCTTTGGTTATTAAAGTTAAACCAACCTTGAAAAAGTTTCCATTTAGAAGCTGCAACCAACTGCAATAACAAAGTGTTTCATTTTCTGCATATGTAGACATGTTTACAATAAAACATTCAATAATTAATTGCTCACTCAAACATCTGCTCTTATTCAAAGAGCTGCATTATAAAAATATAATGCAAGGCTGAGTTTGGCCTTTTCCATATATCAGTTTCATTAAAGAACAAAGTTATGAAATCAGCCTCAATCTAAGTAATTAAATGACTATATTACCTTCATATGACAATTCTGCCCGGTATCGCCCCCTTGAGTCTAGACCCATGAATCTAAAACTGGGACAATGATGGAAATAAGACCAGAACTTTATTGTTTTACCCCTAAAAAACTGATGAATTTTACATTTTTTTTTAAAAATTGTTGTTAATAAACCTAAATTAAAACCAAACTGTTCAGTTAAAGTCCCTTAAAGTCCCATAAAAATAATAGGGGAAATACCTTCAGATAGTGAATGGAAGATGGAATTGAGTGTCACAGATAAACTTCCTGTCTACACCTGTATTTCTGCCTCCAACAGGCTTGCAGTAAGGGGCCCTGAGTCAAGTCTGATGCCCCCTACCCCAGTCTCAGAGACAACTGGTGAGGCACTGGGGGTCCTCATGGTGAGAGAAGACAATGATGGGGAGAAAGTTGGTGTCATGGCTGAAGGGGTAAGTCCTGTGTTCCTGGCTAAGGGGGAATACGCATATTTGCGGTAAGAGGGCTTCTTGCTCAGGCTTGGCACACGCCCCAGCTTTCGTGGCGGTACAGTCCTGATGCCAGGCTGAGCCACTCCTGTTATTAGAGGCGGTGGGTACATGAGACAGCTAGACTCTGCTGCTAAGTCCTCACGGCCGCCTTGGAGCTCCTCGTCAGGGAGCATCCCGATATCGGTGAAGACGGACGCCAGAGTCTGGAAGCGTGGCTCCCAGTCTAACAGGAAGTCCCAGCTGTAGCTGCCCTGCAGCTGCTCGTCTAGACACAACAGTGAGGAGAGAGAATCTGCCGAGCCATGGGCTTCAGAGAGGGGAGCGTACCCTTTTGTTCCCATGCTCTCCTCCAAATCTCTCACCCTGAGTATTGCAGGAAGTAGCCCTTCACCTCCTCCCTCCTCTTTGAAGTGGTGGAGGCTTTCTGTACTGGCCATCCCTGAGACTAAACATTTATTGACTGATAAAATATGCTCCGGCCCTACATCGATAGAGTGGCAGGAGATAGTATCTCCAGGTAAGGCAGAGTCTGGGATCTCTGTGGTCTGGTTGGTCTTCACAGATTCGTCTCTTTTACGGCAGGGGTATTGATTAATCCACTTGATCTCCTGGTCCTCAGCTGTCTCACCTTCTGCTGATCCACGGCCGCTCGAGTCTGATTGATTGTATGGCTTTGATATGTCCCTATTGGTCACCAAGATGCTGGGCCGTTTCATCTCGTGCAAAGAGATGGCACTTTGCGTTTGGCTGTTGGATCTACCAAACGAACCTGTGCCATGGTTCAAGTTTGCGGCAATGGCAGCGGCCTTTTTGATTGCAGCCTCTTTAATCTTGTACCTGAGAACCATGCCCACGAAAATGATGAGGATAAGGAGGAACATAATTAGTGAGATGCTAAGACTGAGCATGTGCACATCAAGGGGAACCCCGGTGAATGCTTCTGCTGAGCTGGAGATATTGACGAAAACCAGGCAGGTGGTAGACCTGGAACCCAATCTGGGACTACTTGCCGACACAACCAGCTGCACCATGTCCTCACTGGCATGACCTCTTCTGCGAAATACAGGACCTGACACAAAGAGAGCACCAATTGTTTTGTTTATTGAGAAAAATGATGATGAGCTCACTAGTGAGTACTCCACCATCCCATCCACCCCTCCATCATGGTCCATTGCCATCACATAACCGACCGTCTCTCCAGGCTCGACGTTTTCTGGAAGGAGGAAGTGGTACTGCTTCTGGGTGAAGATGGGACTGAACTCATCCACTCCCTTGATGGTCACCTGGACTCTCACTGTAGCTGCTTTGTCACCTTTGTCCCTGGCCTCCACTACAAAGCAGTACTCACTCTCGCGTTCGAAATCAAAGGTCTGTCTGGTGTGAATGTCCCCTGTGAGGGGGTCAATGGCAAAGGCCTCCTTCCTCTCAGGGCTGCCACTGCCATAGTCCATGAAGCAGGAGGATAGAATTGAGTAGGTGACCTGGCCATAGTGGCCTAAGTCATTGTCAACAGCATGGACTGAACAGGTGTGGGTAAATGCCGGGAGGTTCTCCAACACCGAACAGTTTATGCTGGGAAACGTGAAGTACGGAGTGTTGTCATTTTCATCCAGCACTGTGATGAAGACAACTGTAAAAGCAACTTTATGTTCTTCAGATGATTCACCGCCATCAGATGCTCTGATAGTGATGCTGTATTTTGAGTCTTCCTCATAGTCAAGGGAGTGGTTGACAACCAAAAGACCAGAGTTAGGGTCGAGCTTGAGGTGACCTTTGCTGTTCCCAGAGATAATGTCATATCGCAACAGGCCGTTGATTCCTAGATCAGGATCTTGAGCACTGACCTGGACCAGCCTGGTACCTATTTGGCTGTTTTCGCTCACATGTGCATGGTACTCTGCGCTGGAAAAGACAGGGGCATTGTCATTACAGTCTGTCACAGTCACCATAACAATAGCAGAGGAGTTCAGTGGAGGTGTTCCTCGATCAAACACACTCACTGTCAGTGTATAGCTCTCTGTGGTCTCACGGTCTAAAGGGTTACACAGAACGAGTTTTCCTAAATTCTTCATCTGATTCTCAACTTCAATCATTTTTACTTCCAGACAGAATCGCTTCTTCTCATTTCCCCTGATGATGGCGTAGTCCAAATGGGTATTTTCGGGGCTCCAGTCCTGGTCCTCTGCAGTCAGCGTGAGGAGGGTGGTGTCTGTAGGGGTGTCCTCTGGGACAGTGAGGGTGTAGATATCCTGATGGAATAAAGGTGCATGGTCGTTGGTGTCTAGAATCAGTATGTCTATGGAGGTGACAGTGGAGTGTACGGGATCGCCGCCATCTCGTGCCTCAACCAGAAGATGGATCAGGTTGCTGTTTGTGATGGCCTTTAGGGGCTTGTTGGTGAAAACAGATCCTGCAAGATAAAAATGTGTTCATGAGCAAATGCTTTCTTTAGCTGTACTGATCAATTAGCAATGGATTCAATGTCTGTGTAATGTGAAAGCAGTCCCCCCTTGGTTTCTGTTGCGGTTTCTGTTCATAGCATATATGTAGTTTACTGTGATAACTGTGGCACATTTACCATTCTGAATTCTTATGATGGGTCTTTAATTATAGGCAGAGGTACATAAAATAAGGTTCTCATACAACCCCAACCAAGAAAATGCTGGGACGATGTGAAAAATATGAATAAAAAGAACACACAGTAATTTATAAATTTCCCTCAACTTTTATTTCATGGCAGGGAGTATGAACACAAGATAAGTAATGTTTTTTGGCAAAAATGGATGTTTATTTACAAATCAAATGATGTTGACAAAAAAAAAAAAACATTATTTATCTTGTGTTCATACTCCCTGCCATGAAATAAAAGTTAAGGGAAATTTATAAATTACTGTGTGTGCCTTTTATTCACATTTTTCACATCGTCCCAGCATTTTCTTGGTTGGGGTTGTATATAGCAAGGTAGCAATTGTTGATTTGATTAGCAGTAAAGACCAGCCAAGGGTTATGTCTGGCCATATTACAACACTAGGTCTACATGGTCCTACACTGCAATAAAGGAACAGTGTTTTCTCTATTTCTATGTCTTCTACATCGGTCATCATCTTTCGAGATTGCTGACTTTTTCCTGGGTTATGTAGCTTTAGCCTCTTTTAGCATAATATCATGCAGCCATTAAGATTATATTAAAGGCCCCTTTTTTCAGGGTTTTCTTTTAAAACCAAGTGTGCAACATTACCTTAATTAGCTAACTAGCTACAACAAATACAATTTGACACCAATAGATGTCTTTACTGCTAACAAAATCCAAAATTTCCAGCTTGCTATATATGAGAATCTGGTTTTATGTACCTCTGCCAATAATTAAGACCCCACTGAACAATCACTGTTTGGGGGAGCGAATTAGTGAACAGTCAGTTGACACCAAAATCTATTCCCTTCAGGTCTATGGAACTTTTTAGCTGCCTTTTAGCTTATTGCTTTGTTTTTTTTGGTTTAGCTAATTGCTTTTGGTACATAATTTAATTAGCAGCAACATGCAGGTGTTCTAAGCAAAAAGCTCTGATAAAATCACTATAGCTACCTATCCAGCACCAAATAGCAGACAGACAAGACCAGCTGGTGAACACAGTGGAGCAGCTAAGAGCCAGGTATTTTTCTCAGAAGCTGGTGGAGAGTAAAAAAAGCTAAAAGGAGTGATGGCTTTATATTCATCAGGTGGCCAGAAACTCAGACAGTAAATGAATGCTCAGGCTAATGCTAATTCTCTGTGTCTGCTGGGTGTGAAAATAGGCAACTTTTGGCTAAAAAGTTTGCCATAATAACTTAACAAGGTGATAATATATAAAGCAATTACTAAAATCTACTGCAGTTTTATCCAAATATTATATTGCAGTCAGTCAGACATTGAGCACTCAATACCATTTTTTTAATCTTACAATGAAACAGCTTACATGATGGAGAAACATGGTCTCACCAATGTAAAACTATAAAACTCCTTTGAATTGACTTAACAGATGATTTAACAAATATGCAGATTGTTCCTGGATGTGTTACTTTCCAGAATAAGAACTGTAAAACATGTCTGCTTGCATGACAATATATTGAGATTTAAATCAAAACTGCCCTTGTCATTAGACACCACAATGCAACATAATTTCCTGTATGACAATTCTTAAATGAATTCCATGTGCAGACCGTAAGAGCAAATTTTCCTCTTGGATGACAATAAACTGTTTGTCCCTCCAATTTATTATTCCACTCCACTGCCAATTGAACTTTTCTCCAGGATTACTTTATTAATTCTGCTCTAAAGCAGCACCACTTATTGTTTGTGAAACATATGGGCATGGAAAAACTGAGAGGCACAGCGCTGCTAAGAGCACCATATTAAATCTTTGGATTCTAGTTAGAGAGCTTTAGTCAACGTTGATACAAATTTCACTTTCCATTAGTGCTCCTCACCGCAAAACACGTCAAATACATTTCTCTGATATTAAACTTTGGGGTTCAAACATGGTAGAAGTCCATAAATCACTCAAGAGTGGAAAAGACTGGCCAGTACTGAGGGGGTACTGGTTTGGTTTTCAGCTCTGTAGGATTTATCTTCTCTCTTGGGTTTGGGTATTTTTAAAAGGGAGATAATAGGATAGGCATGATTCCTTTGAAGCACTTTACCCAATACTTCAGAAATATAAACAATGGAGAAATATACTGCTACTGGCACAATGAAAACTCTCAGCAACCTCTGATATTGTATGCTGAGCTGCTCATAACAAGGCAGAGGCTTTCTCTGCGCCCTTTTCTTTGGCGTGTGCTGCTTTAACTATGCCAGAAAAACTGATTTTAATGGAGAGAATAAGAGGGATGGATATGAGAATCAGACCACCAGACAGTCGTAAGTCATGAAACTTGTAAAGATTGAAGTAATATCTTTTACAGAAGAAATATGGTACATTTTGTTTTTTACGTTTTTTTTCACTGGTGACTTCTTAATGTAGCCCTTTTCTATATATATATATATGACTTCGTAATGTCTTAATGTAATGTAGGACTATATATAGATATATATATATATTTAGAGAGAGCGAGAGAGAGAGAGAGAAAGAGAGAGAGAGAGAGATGGTTTGCTGTTAGTGACACGTATATCAGAACTTTTTGGAGGATTTCTTTTCCAGCAGTTAAGATGTTCTTACCATTGTCTGGCTGGATGTAAAAGCCTTGTAAAGGAGATGAAAGCAGTCTGTAGGTGATCTTGCCATTGTGTCCCGAGTCTTTGTCAGCGGCAGACACTGACACAACCAGTGTGTCTCCTGAGACCAACTCTGACAACTCCACCTTAAAGAGATGAGGAATAATCAGTCACATCTACAGCATGATACATTTCAGGTGCCAGTCTCTGATAAGACATACTTTACACTTTAAGGGTTTATAATGGGAACAGATGCTTTATTGAAAGTTAATAAATTATTGATGCTTTATAAATAAGTATTTGTAAGAACAGCCTTTGGGTTGCCAGGTATGAAAAATCTCTTTGGCTGGTATACAACCTTCTCCAGCTTAACTCTCCTGATGGACACTTGCTCACTTACCCTCAGAAAAAGAGCTGCAAAGTATCTGGAACAACATGAAAAACATATAAAACGTCTGACTTGCTGGATTAGTGACATGCAAAAAACCTTTATCAATGATTTACTTCAATTTATAACTATATACTTTGTGACCTGTTATTAAAGGGGCACGCCACCAATTTTACACCTTTACTTGTCATGAAGAGTGCTATGCAGCTTGTGAAAACAGTTGCATAAAGTGTGTTCGGGAAAAAGTGACCTAAAAAGACAGGCCAAGTTATGCTGAAGGCACATGGACATTTTACAACCTGGCAACCCAAAACTTATCCTTATTAATCTCTATAATGAAGCATTAATAAACAATTTATTTCTAATCTTATGAATCCTAAATAATGCATGCCTTGTTAGACAGCTGTGTCTCTTGGCATTTTATGGTGGCATGTATATATCATTTTATTCATGGCTCGCTGACCCCAACCAGTTGGTACCTAGGTCTTCTACCTTTTTACTGATATATATATCATCTGTACCTGGTAGGAGACCTGGGTGAAGACTGGAGCGTTGTCATTGACGTCAAGCACTTGAACTCTGAGCTCCCCAGAGGTCTGGTGGAGGGAGTCAGATGCCCAAACTGTCAGAGTGTAATCTGTCTGCTCCTCGTAGTCCAGGGCTCGTGTTAGAGTAACCACACCAGTATATCGGTCAATGGCAAAGGGACTGTTGGTGCTACTGTTGTCTGAAAAGCTGTAGGTGATAGTTGAGCTCAGGTCCACATCGTTCGCAGTCACCTGGGTGACCATGTAACCTGCTGGCAGATCTGCAGAAACGCAGAACATATAAAGACAGGAGCACAAATAGAGAGAGAACACAGTTTTTCTTTTTAGATCCTGATGAATATCTGTCATTAAAGGAATTCAGAGTGCAGGGCAGTGAGGTTTGGTCTTACTCTCTGCAATAAGCACAGGCTCCATGGGGGGAATGGCAGGGCTGTTGTCATTGACGTCCACCACTTGCACCCTGATGGTGGTGGTGCTGCTGAGTGGAGGGTTCCCCCTGTCTGCTACCTGCAGAACCAGCCTTCAATATAAAGGGAGTAAACAAATGATTGCACTTGATTAAAAGCATGTTCTGGATGGTGTACTGATGTTTTATACAAGGTCTGAAATTTATCAGTAATAATGTTCTCAATAATAAAAAAACTACGTAACTACATTCCAAAATCACTGATTCAAATTTAATTTGAATACTTTCAATTTGTCATTTTGAAAAGCAAGAACTACACAGTGGTCCAAAGTTATGCTGTTATGGCTGAATCGGGAGAATATTCCATTTTAGTTTTTTATGTTGTCAGCAAATCTGTCAGTCTCTCTTATAAAGAAAAGCACAGCCATTATGAAACTGCTGTATTATGTTCAGGGGCCCATTGCATCAGGTTTGCTTGACAACATTTCCATTTGCTTATTTAGACATATTTCACTAACACCTGCTCATGAGAGCCTTGTAGGTCTTAAATATTTTTCTTACTCTTAATGCTGCCTCTGTTTGCGATCTGCACATAAGAAGTGTTTGCAAATCACTATGTGAGACCGGCCATAGAGTACCACACTGGCCTGCCACAATGATTACACAGAGTAGGAGATGACTTCCCTTTTAAACTAATTCAAACTAATAATGAAGTATTTAGTCTCCTCCCCTAACGAAGATGAAACAACAATTATTTTTGTAACCATTCACAAACTACAGCTCCCGTGTGCCCTGGACAATGTGCCAATGAAATAATTGTTGCTTTATCCTGGTTACATTTTTACAAAAAAAGTACAGTACTATATACTCATGTAGCTTACTGTATGGAAAAAAACAGTAACGCGTTTCAGCTTCAGACAAACCAACTGAAAGAAAACCTACTTTGTTACAGAAGCTAAGATGAGTAGAACCATTATTAAACTGATCTAAATAGTCATTCTTAAAATGGCTTTAAATATTACTTCATAGTATCTAATGTGTGAGTTTACTTGTAAGATGGAGTGATCTCACGGTCCAGTAAAACATTGGTAGCAAGGATCCCTCGCACAGAGTCCAGGATGAATGCTTCATTATGGTTACCGGACACAATGGAGTATTCAATCTGTCCGTTCATCCCGCTGTCAGCATCAGACGCAAACACCTATAGAAGATATGGGAGGTGGCCATTATTAATTGGACCACCAATTAGCACAATAAAATATATGAGGTACTTGCTTAATGTTTGTAATGTCAAAGCGGGCTTAAATGTTGAGTGTACCTGCATAATGTAGGTGTTGTGCACTTGCCCCTCCCAGACAGCTGTTCTGTAAGTGCTGTGCTCAAACAGCGGTGCGTTGTCGTTGATGTCCTGCAGGGTGATGGAGACCCTGCAGTGAGCCGTCTGCAGTCCGTTGTCGGCCAGCACCACCAGCTGGATCTGAGGACTCACCTCAAAGTCCAGAGAGTTATCCTTCTGCACCCGGATCTCACCTGCACGAAACGTCAACCCAAGAAAACAACGCCCAGATGGTAAGTTTATATAATACAATCTACTATATTCAATAATATATTCCACATTATAAGATGACTATTTGAGTAATTTTGTACTTTTTTCTTTGGCCTCGTAGTTGCCCTTTTTTTTTTACTGGATCAGGGAAAAATGAAGGGAAAATAGTGGAAAGGAAAACATAACTTTTCTTCCATTAAAAAATGTGTCGACAGAAGCACTTTTAGGTTCAAGTTTTTGTGGTAACCCTAGAATTCAGTCCTACATTACAATAATATTGTGTGTTTAAGTGTCTGTGTCTGTGTCTACTTCATTACCTTATGTAGACATGAATCCGAAAAAGATTTGGGTTAGAACATGATAAAGTCAGGAAGGCAACAATCATAACTCCTTCGGAAATACTTGTATATAAACAACCAGATGAAGCTGATAAGTTGAGAGGGCATTTTGCAGAGAGAGATGGAGCCAAAAATGGTTGGATTGGAAGCTCTTATTGGTCAGACATAAACAGTGATGAGGGGTTGAAATCAAAAAGATATTTTCTGGATACTTTTGTGGAAAATAAAATGGATGAGTGCATGAGAATTTGTGCAATTAGCATAACTTAACTGATGAAAGCGTGTTCTTGCAAATTAACACAATCTGCTAATCATAACAAAGTGAACTTAACTTTGGAAGGACAGCAAGAAAAAGGAAAAAAAACAAAACAATGTTTTTGTTTGCAAAGTTTCATGTTTTTTTTTTTTACCTGTGTGACGGTTAATGGAGAAAATGTGATTCTCATTGCCACTAAATACGGTGAAGGTGATCCTTTGTCTGCTGTTGGTTGGGTCACTGGCCTCCACTTTTGCAATCCAAGTGCCTTGACAAAGAGAAAGTGAAAAAGTTGATGACATTTTTTTTTAATGATATCCAGTGAAAACAATAGGAAAAGAGGTGGTAAAACCTACCAGCTCTACTGTTCTCCTTGACAGTGGTGTTGTACACTTTGTTTGTGAAGTGGAGTCCTTCATGTTCTCCCTTCAGGTGGATAAAAACCAGGCAGGTGGAGGTCAGAGGAGGTCGTCCTCGGTCTGAAACCACAACCTGCAGCTTCCTCCCCGAGAAACCTGCTCGCACTCGTCTCCTCAGTGAAATCTCTCCTGACTCAGTGTTGATGTCAAACAGATTTTCTTCATCAGACAACGTAAAATGTATTGTCCCGTTCTCGCCCTGGTCGCCATCTGTTGCCATCACCGTGGTAACTATCTGGTTTGGCAGAGTCCTCATGGAAACCCATGCATTAATGGGATTCTGGTCACAGACTGGCACGTTGTCGTTCACATCCTCCACCTGTACGGTCACAGACGCCATGGAGCTCAGGGGTCCCTGAGTGCAGCCGTCAGTAGCCACGGCTCTGAGGGTGTACTGAGCCCTGTTCTCTCTGTCCAGAGCCCTGGTGGTGCGGATCACTCCTGTAAAAGCATCCACAGAGAAAACCCCCTGGCTGCTGTCCTCTGTCAGAGAGTAGGTTATGTCCCCGTTGGGCCCCTCATCAGGATCAAAGGCGTTAACATGCAGGACCTCAGCTCCGACAGGTAGGCCCTCACTGATGGACGCATGGTAGCTTTTACGGGTGAAAGAGGGGATGTTATCGTTCTGGTCCAGCAGCACCAGCTGGAGTTGGGTGGTGGAGCTGAGCGGGGTGGGGCCATAGTCACGGGCCTGTATGTTGAGTGTGTAATTCTGCCTGTCCTCGCGGTCAAGGACCTGCGTGGTGCTGACAGCACCTGTGTGACTGTTGATGGTGAAGCGACCTCTGTAGTCCTCACCTAAAGACCATCAAAGATATAATGACGACCAAACCGTGGATAGAAATTAAAGGATAATTCCAATTTATCACAACTCTTATTTTTTCTAGATTCAGAATCTAGTTATGCTGAACTAGTAACTTGGTGAGTATAATGTTTTTACTGCCAAAATGACTAAATTACAACCCAAGTTGCTTGACATAAAGAGCATTATCTGTGTTCCTCACCTAGTATGGAGTAGTGTATAGTTCCATTTTCTCCGTGGTCTGGATCTGAGGCCTGAGCAGTGTAGACGACCCCAGGGGGCAGGTTTTCTGGCAGGCTGATCTGGAAGGACGACTGCATGAACTCTGGAGGGTTGTCGTTGTCATCCAGCACAGTGCACTGCACCGTGGCCGTGCCCGAAAGCGGCCGCGTGCTGCTGTCACGAGCTTGGACTGAGGACAGGAATCGAAAGGAATTCACACGTACACTCACTGTCCTCCAACGTAACATCACAGAAAGCTATAATCTTTTGATTGAATAGTTTTTTTCTGCTGCTTCACAACGTTTTGAAAATTAGAAATTAGATCTAGATGTTATCTGCAAATCACAAGGAAACTATATGTTTTATTGCTCAAACATCAGGGTTTCCGTTACTAACAACAGTTTCTATTGATGTTTTTTTTTTGGTTTTGCTCTTATTATATCGCAAAGACACATATTTACATCTGCGTTTCCACAATGACACCTCTGTAATGTCACCTATGGTTTTTATTTAACTCCTGGACTTAAAAACAAACAGAAAGGAACAAGACTATGAATCTAACAGCTCTGTGAAGCTTTACTTAGGCACAGAAGATGCTAACATTTGCTAATTAGCATTGAACACAAAGCTGAGCTGAGGCTTATGGGAATGTCCTTTGTTCTGCCGGTATTTGGTCATAAACCAAAATAGTGTACAAAAAAAAACTTTGACCTGCTGAACGTGTTAGTTCAAAGTCAACTGGGAAGTGATGGATCAGCCGAGCAACAGCTAGAGAGCCACGCTGCTAGCCACAGACCAATATCATAATAGCTCCTACAACTGTAATATACCGTATGTAATGAAAGCATAAGTAATACATGTAACAGTTTATGGAAATAGACAGTTTTGCTCAGTATCAGTCTCAAAACGCAGCAATGAGTAAGTCTGATTGGTGCCAACTCTGCTGACCAAAGACTGAAGCCACATTAGACTTTTCATAGCAGTGAAAAAAAAAATCTGTCAACATAAAGTATACTGCAACAGCTTTTAATACTTGTTGAAAAGAACTCTGTATTTTATTTCTCTCCAAATTCATCTGCAGCCAGAGAAAATTGTCCCCACATATTTCATACATATTTCCCAATAAGCCCTGTGTGATTCTGGCACGACTTCAAGACATTCAAGGCTTTCCTATTATTATATTTTGTTATTAAATTTAATTGTTCATCATTCTACCGACTGTAAAAATATTATGATAAACCATCTGAAAGCAGTTTATCACTAAACACTGCTGAACAGCTTGAATGTAATTACTGCGTATGCCCATGAGAGAGTGAAGGCAAACACTTCAAAAGGCCCAGGGTGCAGCAGTGCAGTCAGCAGAGGTTAGATATACTGTACCTCAGCCCATTAAAGGTCTACTGTTTCCCTGACATTAATCAATCTGCTGAATAATGCTGCGTTCATACAGGAGGCCGACCTTCAATTCTTTATGACTGGCTGTGAAGCGCGACAAGAGAGAAGTTAGAGAATCAGAAACAGAGAGGGGTAGAGAAAGAGAAAAATGTCCATGTTTGATAAGGACAGCAGACGATAACTTTATGTTTTATTTTAGCAACTTTTGATTATTTCTTTTCGTTATTAAATATTTCTGTTGCCCTTCAGTTGGAAGATCTGACTTCAGTGTGTGGCCAGAACAAAATCACAGACTTTCAAACAGTTGCTTGTGTCCTCCGTGCCACATCAAAAAGTGTCCCCCAGGAAAACCTGATCACAGCCATCGATAATACGCTGATCAATACATGGACTTTAAACTTACACTGCCTCAATAAAAACACTAAACATTTCAAGCTGAAACTGGTCTGGTGTCTGACCTGCCACGCAGCGAGCTTGTGAGTGTTTTTTTCCCTGAGACATCAGCACTGGACTGTGACTGATTGGACTGTTTCTCACACAACCTTTCCAAACTTTTCCCCTCAGACAACGCAACATGTTGCTCTGATTAATTACTGAGCGCTGAACATATGACGCGATCAATCCATCACTCACCTGCTGAGCTGAATCAAGCCGATCTGACACATCTCATCTTGTTGCATAGCAGTTTAAACATCCCTTCACTCATTAGGTTCTAGTTTCATCACGGGAGACAAAGTAAATATTGTGATGCTGCTTGTGTGTGACCGGCTGTGTTTTGATGTGCCTTATTGCAAAAGAGATGTTGAGCGATCCTGATTAAATAAAGATTAAAATAAAGTTTATGTGGGAGTTGTGGAGTTACCACATTCTGCTGCTGTTACTTCTGTGTCTCTCAGGTGTAAGAGGTTTTAACTGTGAGTGTGTTTGTGTGTATATGTGTGTGTGTGTGAAGACCAGCGTGTGTTGGTTCACGTGTCTTACCCCTGAGTGTGTAATGTTGCTGCTGCTCTCTGTCCAGGTAGGAGGAGGTGGTGGTGATCAGACCGGTGTAAGGGCTGATGCTGAAGAGCTCGTAGCCTGGGCCCGGCAGCAGACTGTACCACACCACAGCGTTCTCCTCTGAGGGGTGGACACACAAGGTGAATGTAAACGCTGTTACAGTAGCTAGCTAGTAGTCACTAGCTGTTTTTTTTTTTTTTTTTTTTTTTTACTTCTGCAGCAAAAAGACAGCAACAACAAAAAAGCTGATCACATGACAGATTGTAAAGTGTAACTTACTGTAAAGTAAAATATACTTTCAAGTTTACATAACAGAATTGACCTGTTGTGAGGGAAACAGGGTGCTCCTCTGTTTTAGCCACCTAACCGAAGAGCAAAGACATGCAAAATAAATAAATAAAAAATGAATAGCTAAATGCATGATTCATTTTTAACGGTTTGTCTTGAGACATTTTACCTTTATCAAAAAAATTGCAGCTCCTGCGATTTGGATCTTGCACTTGGCCATATTATGATTTTGATAATATTTCAATCTGTAGTTCATCCCTGTTGCCGTGTTGTATTAGAGACTCCTGTCTAATACGACTACATCAATAACTGCAACCTAAAAGCTAAAACATATAATTTAACTAAGACTTCTATAACGTTGTCAAATAGACAAACAAAACATTGGACATAATAGGCATCAAAAGTAGCCTATAGGCAGAACAGATGGAATACAGAGTGGAATAAAATGGCCACTGAGTGGATGCTCTGAATTTTCTTATTTCTAATTTTCAAATTTCTTATTTCATGTATATATATATATATATATATATATAGAACTGTTGTATTCTTGTATTAATAAATAATACAAGAATACAAAACACAGTACGCAGCACAATACAAATGCATACATATGAGAAATAATCTATTTTTATCCATAAATTGTTTTATGTCCAAAACAAGATCCTACTTTTCAAATAATGCTCAAGTGCTTTTTTCTTGCATTAGTTTGAGTCCAGACGTTCAGTTTAGCACCTCATCAGCTCAGTTCATGTTTCCAGCTTCCTCCCTTTCACAAAAGACTTATCTGATTGTCAAACTGAAAACAGCAGCATGAAGTAGAAATCACACACCGTCAAGTCTCACCTTTCAAAACTAACAAGAGACGCGTCCTTTATCTGAGCCCTGTTCTGTGTTCGTCATGCCCTGCTGCTGGTTACAGATCTCATGGGTCTCTAACGTTGTTCTACTTGCAGCCACACATTAAAAAAAAAAAAAAAGTTAGCTGTGCACCGGCTGCGGTGGTAAAGCTTAGCATTGTCTAGCAGCTGATACAGAGCAATATGTTCGTTTTACATCATCTCAGTATCAGAGGGTCTTTAGAGAAATTGTCAGGGCTGCAAGAGCAAGTGACAAGGAGCTCTGTCCCCTGTTTATCTGAACTGGACAATGAACAGACGCAGTGTTCATAGATATGAGACGAAATGAGAGCTCTTATTGTTTTACTTACTCACTTGTCTTACTTTCTACCCAACAAATAGTCCCTATGAAAACTGTTAAAAGCTTGTTCTGTATATGTTCTATGTATTTCTTTGGAGTTAAGTGAGAAAGTATGTTTTTTTGTTTTTTTTTTAAATTTGAGTAACTGGGGCAATAACATTAGAAAAGGTGTTTTAATCAGTCTTAAAAGTGTGATGAGTGAACGGTTAAGGACGCAAAGAGCAATTTAGAAGATCTTTTGAGCCAACAGTTGTGAAACTAATTCAGAAATGTGTTGCATGTGTTCAAGTGGCAGTGCATCTTTCATATGTTGTCATTAGCATGTACTAATGTAAATGTGTACGAGCTAATAGGATGCGATAATCAAATTTCACAATAAAAGTTCTCTATGAAGAAAAAAACTGCATCTGTGTCCTTGTGACCCCAAAGACAGAACAGCTATTCTTAAAAACACGAATCCTTCTAAACTCATGAACCTTTGATCCGCGGAGTGAAATTCAGGACATGCAGAGTAATGCAAAGGTTAGCTGTCACACTTCTCAATATTGCACATCTCTTCTGACTGACTCCAACACTTGGAAACTGGATATAGAGGCCAACACGGGCACAAAACAATGGTCATCTTTGGGGTGCGCCGGGAGGGGGGGGGGGCACAAATGATAATCAAATAAGACTGGTGGGAGAGCGGGCTGAGCTGCCAGACGAGGCGATTTGAGGAGACAGATGAAAACACGGCGCCTATTGGCACAGATGGCTTGGATTATGGAAATCATCATGAGACAGGACCTTTCAATTCTCCCAGAGGAGCTGTGTGCTTGCTGTTCTTGGACAATTCTCACCCCCAAGAATGTTAGTTCAACATGGAAACCCCTCCTGTCCTGCCACATGCCCTCCACCTCCAGTATTTAAAAGGACTCGTACTGTCAACACGACAAGGCGAAGTGGGATTGAGGAGGCCCCGCGCACAACGTGTTAAAATAAACAGGGCTGATGTGCAGATTTGTGAATGTGATTACGGGGGTCGGATGAATGAGATTTGCGAAGATGTACAGTGAAAGTAGCTCATGAAAAAAAGACACAAATGGAACAACACACGAGGAAAAGGGCAGGGATTGGTTTGAATGAAACTGCTAATGGAGTGAAACAAAACAGACGATAACCTTGATTCACTGCTGCGCTGAGGGTTTTACCAAAACATGGCAGAGCGCTCAACTCTGAAAAGGTTGTAGGGGAATTTCCTCTTTTTACCATTTAACCCACCAAGTATTTTTTTTAAATCAGGTTCAAGAGTCAGATAAAAGAAAAAAAGTTTGGTTATATGTAGGATGAGCCTGTGGTTTGAGGTTGTGAGGCCTCACAGACGCATGCTGGTGCTGCCATCTAGCTACGGTGGCCCTGAGAGCTCAACGCACTGCAACTAAAGAAGGCACATGTTAATAGACAAAAACGCAAGCTAATTCAGAAAACATCTTCATCAATTTGACAAAAACACTTGCTGCAAATAATCACAGCACAACCAAATAGCACAGACGACAGTGGAAGTGTTTCCAAGGGAACACAAAAAAAAGTGATGAACCCATCTGGGACGCACTTGCATGGATGTAACGTATAAGTAACGTATTATATATGTTTTATAATGTATCCATGCACACACAATGCATTGAACAACAAGGGTGTCACAGCCAGGTTCATCACTTTTGAGTGGAGACACTTCCACAGTCATCCGTGCTACTTGCAGCACATTTGTGTATTTGATGTGTTGTGAGTATTGTATTGTTATTGTGTATTGTCAAATTGATGATGATGTTTTTTCTGAATGAGTTCGTGTTTTGTCTATTCTATATCTGCATGTGTCTTCTTAAGTTGAAGTGCATTGATCTGTAATCTAGCACCTTGGAGACAAACCTGCCTCATCTCCACTTCCGCAGGACGATCACATAAGGGTGAACTTGATTGCCAGTACGCGAGACCAACACTTCATCTAATCATCTCCAATGATAACAAATCAGTAAATTACAAGTTAGTGATGAATCAAAAATAATCAAAACACCTCAAACGATGACAAGAAAAGCTGATGATTATTACCTGAGTCCTTATCAGTGGCAGAGACCCTGACCACCGGTTCTCCGGGGTCTCTGTTCTCCGCCACGCTGGCGTTGTAGATGCTCTGAGTGAAGACGGGCGGCTGGTCGTTCACGTCCCCCACCTCCACTGTCAGAGTCTGCGTGGAGGACAGCGAGGGCAGGCCGTGGTCCACTGCACGGACGGTCAGACGGTGGAAACGCTGCGTCTCGTAGTCCAGAGGGGCCGAGAGAAACAAAAGCCCTGAAGGAGATGAGAGAAGATGGAGTTAGAAAACGACTTTAACTTAACCTTTATTGTTGCTTAGTCACAAATAATAACTTCCGAATGATAACAGAGAAAAATGTAAGATTTAAAATCAAGCTTAAACCTTTTATCAATGAGAAATTTTTATATAGCATGAAAATCATTTAATTAAAAATGACCAAAGTGAATCAATATAAATATCTGAGACTTATAAATTTAATATCTGATATTGTTATTTGAATTTTTAAAGGATATCACATTAAAAAAACGTATTAATACGGATCCCTGTACTGACAGGACAATAAACAGTTATAGTTTTAATGAGACATCTACACCAATACAGACAGCAATATGCTAATATCAGCCCAGCCTATTTATCAGTCTAGCTCTACTAAAAAATAGTCCATCACCGATTATAAAAATCCAACCTGTTTTCTCCTCTAGTGTGAAGAACCCATTCTTGTTTCCAGCGATGATGATGAAGGAGACAAGTCCATTTACACCTTTATCTCCATCTATGGCCACAAAATGATGCAGCAGACTCCCCACCTCAGCGTCCTCCATCACCTGAACCGTATCCGCTGATATAAACACCGGCCGGTTGTCATTCACATCCAGCAGAAAGACCTGAGCCGTCACCGACGTCTGTTTACGCTCGTCCTGCCTCTTCGCCTGGTCGGTGGCCGTCACGGTGAAGGCGAAGCTGGAGGTGGTCTCGCGGTCTAACGGTGCCGCTACAGTCAGGCTCCCCGTGTAAGGGTTGATCTGAAAGGGGAAGCGTGGTGATGACCCACCGAGTTCAGGGTCAAAGGTCAGAGTGTAGCGGAGGGCGCTGTTAGGAAAGGTCCCATCGGCGTCCCTGGCATGAAAAGCAAACGCCAGCGATCCGACCGTAGCGTCCTCCCTCAGGCCGAACGTCACCAGTTTATCAGGGAACCAGGGTGTGTGGTCATTTACGTCCTCGACCATCACACTGACCAGCACGGACACGTTGGCTCCGGGAGCGAGGCCAGAATCCTCAGCTCGAACCATGAGGAAGTACTGCATTGCCGACTCGTAGTCCAGCGGCTGGTTGATGTAGATGTCACCAGAGGAGCCGTCGATGCCAAAGTGAACGTTCCCGTCACCCTCGGAGATGGAATAGTGGAATTTCCCTTTATCTGGAACACCGGCAGAGCCGATGACGGCCGCCGGCTCTGTGTCCTCTCTCACTGTAAAGCGCCTCACAATGTGGTGGTCAGTGCGGCCGTACGGAGCCTCTAGTCCATGGACCTGCAGATGAAATGCAAACATACATACATGCATACATTAAAATACTGTTTGCTTGTTTATTTTCACACTATCACAATCATAAAAGTCATTGCAAAATTATGACAGGTCCAAAGACTAGGAAGGATTAAAAAGATGAGGTGATGGAGATAAAAATAATAAATGCCATAAAGCGCTTCATATGAAAAAACACTGAACACTGTGTCACCTCATGGACACTGATATATATAAAAAATAATAAATGTCTCCCCCTGGTGCCAGATTCAGTCTACTCTGTGTGTATTGTGTAGAAACGTGTATTACACCCAGACCATCAGGCATAGGTGAGAGTTTATTTGTGTTTTTGTGTACACAGCGGATCGTTATGGAGATTTGAGAGTTTTTTTTAATATCATGTGATCTCCTAATTGTAGGTTGTGCTGTTATTTCTAAAATGTGTTTACATATATTGCATGTTTTTGTTTTTTTCTTACACGTTCAAAATGTCACGTCATTAAAATCTTTGGGCATTTGTTTAGTGTGCGGACTACTTTTCTTCTCTCCCCTCAAGACTAAAGATCAGATCTCATGAGCCAAATAACTGCAAACCATCTTTGCAAAACAAATAAATTGAACCTGGTGTGTATTCACAACAAAAGGTACAAGCAGTAAGTAATACGGGGTTCTAACTTGTTTTGTTGGGAGGTAATTCAATTCAAAATTCTGGGACCTTGATAAGAAAGTCTGAATATATTAATATATAATATATGAAAATGCAGATGTTGATCGCTGGTAGTGAAAGACACAAGCCACATTGTTTTTAAAATAAAGATCTGTAAACTAAACAAAACTCTGGAAATCTCCTCTTAAATAATTTTGTCGGCAATTTCAATATCCAATAATCATAGCATCATTCATCAGATTTGAAACTGACTTTGTATCAGATACAGCTTTAAATGAATACCAGAAACCACAGTATGAATGGGAGGAACAACAATACCTGTACATGAATGACTGCTGTGTCCTCCCGAGGTGTGACTCCGCTGTCCCTGGCAGTTACTTTCAGGGTGTAGTACGGTTCAACCTCCTGGCTGAACAGCTCTGTTGTTCTGATGTCTCCACTTTTACTGTCAATCTCAAAGTGTCCAAGATCATCGTCTTCATCAAAATCAGCTGGAAAGAGAAGTATTCAGGACCTTAATGATAAATGGCACACGGCAGTAAATGTGCATACTGCACAGGTACCACTCTCGACTCACCTGTGACCAATGAGAAGGTAACCGTTCCATTTTCTCCCGCATCCAGATCTTTGGCAAACATGTTTGTCACCAAGGATCCTGTTGGCAGCCCGGCCCAAATCTGCAGTAAAAAGAAAAATATGTAAAGTGTATAAATAACATCTAGTCTCAATCACTACTCATCAACCACACTGCTCACTTTAAAGATTCATATCTGTGGGTTTGTTATCTGAGTCTGACGTCCTCCCTGCCTTTCTGTGCTGGTGTATTTTTTCTAGTTGGTCTGTGTCATATCATTATTGCCACAGATTCAGACCAGAAGAAAGACTTCGGAAAACCTCAGAAATCATCTCATCTAATGGAAAATGTTAGTGTCAACGCTCTGCATGAGTGTGCATACACGTCGGCCACGTAACGTTGCAGTGAGTCATGTAAAATTATGTTATGAGACAGAAGCAGCTGAAGTGTTGATGTGAGTTGATGCTGGTAAATGGGACACTGGTGTATCCCGACTCATCAGCAGGGGACAACCCATGACAATTTACATCTTGATGTTCTCGACCACCAGACGCCCCAGCAGGATTCATTCTTACCTGCACATTCAGCTCTTTGCTGGCAGGCAGGTGTGTAAACTGCGGAGCGTTGTCATTGATGTCCGTGACCAGGATCTGAACGCCGGCGGTGGCGTTGAGACGAGGGTGACCCTGATCTGTAACCATCACCTTCAGACTGTGCTGGCTGTGCTGCTCCCGGTCCAGTGCCACCCAGTTGATGATTTCCCCTGGATGGGCGCAGAGAAGACAGAGTAAGGTGCAAAACTGCACAGTAAAGCACAAGATGACATCAAGATCATGTCACTAACGTGAATGTTTTTACCTGTTTTAGCGTTGATGCGGAAGAACTTCCCATCTGAGAGCAGGATGTAGGACAGCTGGGCGTTTTTCCCAGAGTCCTTATCCACAGCTCTGACTGTTCCTACCAGGCCTTGAGGCGACGACCCCTCTGATACGGTGAAGTAGTAGACCTCACTGCTGAACACTGGAGCGTTGTCATTGACGTCCAGCACCAGCACAATCACTGTGGCTGTAACCGTGGTGTTCGCCAGCGAGGCCTCCCTGGACGTGGCCGACACCCGAAAGCGATACACGGATTCTGTCTCGTAGTCCAGGTTTTGGGAGAGATACAACCATCCCGTCTTTGGGTGAACCCGAAACGGAGCAGGAGGGAACCCGGCTTCCGCCTCCAAGGAGTAGGTGAGTCCTGAGTTCAACATGTGAGCTCCGCGGGTCCGGTGCGCCCTCACCTGGATGACCCTCGAATCTTTACGGTATCCCTCGCCTATCTCCACCTGGTAGACTAAAGTCTCAAAGGCCAGGCTGTCCTCAGCAGTGGTGCGGTCCACGTTGACTGTGAGAGTCAGAACGGAGCTCAGGGAAAGTTCTCCTTCATCTTTAGCCACGACTTCCAGGCTGTACCTCTGCTGACGATCCACCTGTAAACTGCGGTTTAACGTCACCGTCCCGAGGTTGGGGTCAACAGCAAACGTACCATTCCTGCTACTTCTCAGGTAATAGCTCACCCTCCCGTTGGCACCACTGTCATAGTCATGCGCATGAGCGATGAACAACACGGTTCCTGGGAGGGTGTTCTGGGACACGGTGATGGTGTCACTGAGTTTGGCGAAGACAGGAATGTTGTCATTGATATCAGCGATAGTGATGTTGACTTGAGTGGTGCTGTAAACAGGAGACGTGTCAGTGTAGGACTGAAGAACCAGCAGCGCGTACGGCTGCGACTCGTGGTCCAGAGGTTTGATGTTGCTGATCAGGCCGGACTTCGGATGAACTGAGAACAAACCCTGAGGATCTCCAGAAGAGATTCGGTAGGATACAGATTCCCCAGAGTCTGAGAAGACAAAGAGTCTTTATTGATGAATGAACGACGAAACATTAAAGGGTTAGTTCACCTAGAATACAAACTGCATTTTTAAATTCCCTCACTTAACTTCAGTCGTGGTGCTCGCAGCAGTGAAAAGTGACAAATCAGCATCAGCGTATCATTTCAGTTACTTTATCTTAATTTTACACAAAATACAGTGTGTGCTACATATTAATCTTTATTGTGTTATATACTGTTTTGCACAAGAAATCAACATACTTTCCCGATTTATGCTAACAGGAAGTTGTATAATAATGCACCAGCAGATGGTCAATTAAACTGCACAAATCCATCCATACATCTACGATGCATACTGACTTTTGTGAGTAGGCTGTACCTTATATTCTCCCTTTTCCAGTGTGAACACACACACTACACACAGCGAGCTTCTTCCGTAGAACACACTGTCAACAGTTTTTTTTATTCAGAGTAACGTAAGGTGTTGAGAGATGAGCAATTTCTTTAGATCCAATTCACCTCTATCGTATTAGGGAAGAAGCAAAAATCTCAGAGACAGATATTTCAAAACTGTCAGACAACAAATGAAACCAAAACTACCTGCATGGCTAAGAACTGTAAGACGATTAAGATACTGTATCATTTAGTTCACTGAAAGTTAAGATTCAGAGAAGGGAGAATAGACAATATCATAGTTGAAGGTAAATGCAGTAACAAGAGGGAGTTGGTTTGGGAAAGTATTCTGTTGATATATTATAGTATGTACATATTGCTATATACGAGTGTGTGCAGGAACATAAGGATGTGCGTGAAGGTGAAGAAAAAAGTGACAAAAAAGAAAACAAATGGGATGAAAGGGAAAAAAAATGAAGTCTATTTACACTCTCTCTCCACATATTATCTCTATTTTTTGTGTTTCTGATGTATGTTTCATTATAAATTTACAGTTACGTGGTGGAGAAACATAGTACGTATAGAACATTAACACACACAGCTCACACACTCAGTAAAGCAACATTAAGTAATTACAGTGCAGGCCAGCAGATCCCGTTAATCCCTTCCAAGTGTTTGTGGCACCTCAACAGTGACAACAAACCTCTAGAAACAAGCAGAGAGCTTAACGGCGCCCGCCCCCTGTCAAACACGCCCAATTCTGTTGTTTCTACTTTAAGCTGAAGCGTTAATCTGCTAATTGACTAGATAACCTTAAATGACTGTCTAGTGTAGTGGAGTAGTTTAGCCGCTGAGGGGACTGAGTGGGGTTAGTGGCACATAACAAGTGGACTATGAAGGGATAATCCTGGAAAACATGGGAGCTGTGAAATCCCTCCAAAGAGAGAGGAGGCTGTATGGTTTATGATAAAATATTAAAAAAGAATAAAAATCTGCTTTATCTCCTTCACTCAGAATCCCGTTTTTCCTTTTCACATTTAAAATGTTGTTCACTTTTACCTACAACTACATCATGTAAAATCATACAAATTTAAATACTGATACAACAATAGATATCTTCATAATAACAATGACAAAAAAAAAAAAAAATCCTACTCCACTCCACGTTTATGAGAAGATTATCTTTGACCTGTAAGAACACCGACACAACATGTGGAACGATCGTCTCGGACCCCTTTATCATCTGTCATCTGCTCATGAGGCTAAGGAGGATTAAAGATTAAACCGCAGCACTCCTCTTTGCCTCTTCAAGTCTGCAAGGAGATTTGAGCAATGACAATGATCGCTCAATTGTTTTTGTCACAATCATCTGTCAGGACAAAGCCTGCTTTCCTGCAACATCCAGAGCTGGAGAAATTTGCTCTTTAAATCAGTTTAGTTAACTTCATTTCAAATAAAAAAATTTAGTTTGAATTGAACTGGGACCATGAGAAAAGTCAGTGTTATTATAAGTAAAAAAATACTGTGCATTTGCTTAGGCTCCTCCTACTTGTAAATCAGCTATAAGACTTGCTCTCAATGTGGCAACAAGAGTTTTTACATGAATTTCAAGACTAAGTGTTCATTTTTTTCACACCCACTCAACTGAAACTAAGTCTCAGAATCACCCGACAAGCATTTCTTACATTTCTTTTAACTACGAGAGGAAGCTTGAGTGCACAGACATGAAGAAGAAGTGACGTTGCTTTCAACTGGGTCACTGAGGCCATTTACAACACATGCTTTGCTGTTTTCCCCCCTCTCATAAAACAGCAGCCCCCCCCCAAAAAAACGACCCCCCCCCCCCCCCGACCCTCATAAAACATCAAGCCAGTTTCATTTTAATCAAGAATATGAAAAGAATCTTTTCCCTCACAGTCCCGGTGTTTTAACTCAGCCGGGTATGAGGCGACAGATCAGATATAAGTGCTCTTTTGTGGTTTAATATATTTATACCTCGCTGTGTGGAACCGACTCGGATCGTTCAGTCTACGGTAACATGAAGTTGCAATTAAACAGGATTGTGCAAAATTGAATTCTTTTGATCTAGAACAGTGTGTGTTAAATGTGGCTGCCATTTTAGTTGAATGTCCTAATTCTGAGTGTGTAATTTCATTTATGCTCATGAGAAACCTTCTTAGAAATCACCAACAAAAGATGCTCCTTATAACTGAGAATCATCAAGCCACAGTGTTTTCGTATGAATCCATCACCTGATGTGTACAATAAAGTAAATAAGCGGGACATGGCCCGGAAACACACACTCACCCGCTGGGTTTATGGCCTCCACCGTTCCCACAGAGGTCCCTGGCGGTGCATCCTCGGGCACAGTAAAGGTGTAGCGTGACCTCTGGAACACAGCTGGAGCCTGAGCGCTGCGTAAGACATTGATGGTGACCTCTGCGGGTCTGACCGAGGTCAAGCCCTCCCCATCCTGTGCTGTTATCGAGAGCTTCACGCCGGCTGCGCCCAGGTGGGTCAGAGTGGAGGACACGAAGAGCATCCCTACGGTGACAAGTTAAGTTTCAGTCATTAAGCTTTCCTCATTGAACCAGTTAAAAGTCTCATTGAAATTAGAGCAAAACTGGTTGATCGTTGCTTCCAGCTCCTTTAATGTGAGCATTTGCCGATTTTCAGTTTCTTATTACTGTAAACTGAATATTTTGGGTTTTGGATTGTTGGTTGAACAAAGCAAGGTATTTAAATACGTCATCTTGGGCTGGAAAATTATTCCAGGGATTATTAACTAATTTCTGGCATTTCACAGACTTTAAATAGAAAACCTTTGCCAGATACATTTATAATGAAAATAATTTAAAATTTAAAACTTCCTTTTAACGAATATCTGACCAAAAATATCTGGCTAAAAAACTCTATCAAAAAAATAAACTACAGACCAGCAATTCTGGACCAAAAGAGCACAAATAATATCCAGTTAAAATGTACATACATGTAATTTGAAGTTTCAATGACCATGAAAATAAATTAAAACAACTCTTTCCAACTATTTTCCAAGCTGATTGACTTAAAATGTCCTTTGTTTCTGGCTAAATTAGTACATCAGTAAGAACTAGGGCTGCACAATTAATCGAAATATAATTGAAATCGCATTATGGCCGAGTTCAATATCCAAATCACGGGCTCACTGCAATTTTTTTTGATGAAGGTAAAATGTGTCACAGCATTGTTGTGCATTGTTAGCACCATAAGCATTGTGGTCATTTTCTCCAGACATAAGGTGTCGTAAATTTACAGCAAAACAATACTGTGGAATCTCCCACAGGGAGCTCAGAGAATCAAAACTACTGTTGATAGCGTATCTGGTCATGTGCAGGTACAGCAACTTCACACCCTTAAAAGCAGCTTACAATGTTAACCTTTCTCTCTTTAGTTAAAATTTTATTCAGTGTGACATTGTGGCTTACCTTACTCTCTAAGCTTTGGGCTTTCTGCACCCCTCCTGCTGAGCAGTGACACCGCCAATCATATCAACGGGACTTACTTCGAGTAAGCAGTTGTTTATCCCCGAATACTGGGCATGCCAGTCACACAAGTTACTTACTGACGAGAGAGTGGATCTACGCCACAAGTCGCTGAAGCTTGAGACATCATCCAAACATGGTGTAAAAATACTGTGAGATACAACAGTCAAATGTTTTGCAAATCCCTGTGTTGCTGATTTGATTGTGACAGACTGACTGGCTGGAGAATGTACAAAGAGTAGATAGCTTAGGTATGGTGGCCCTGAGGGTCAAAACACAGCAGTATTTCACAAAACACATCAACAAATTGGGACAGACAAAGATGGGAAATGTTGCTTTTCAGAAACTGTTTTCTCTTTTGTGTTTTTGCCTCTCAGGGCCACCATACTTCCATGAGTTACAGAAAGATAGATAAATCAAGCTCAAGGAAATAACTTTGGCCCACAAATAACTTTAGGATCCACTGCACTGATCTTTTTAATCTTGGCAACGTATTTCCCTGTTTGAAAGAGCTGCAAGTTATTTGTTTTTTTGTTTTCTTTTCACTCCTTCAAACACAGAACAAAACGATAAAGCCGCTGATGATTCTGTGTATCTGTACCTAAATTCCTCACGCCTGCCTACCTGTTTGTTTATCCAGTGCGAACAAACTGGACATGTCACCGGGGAGGATATCGTAGGTGACCTGTCCAAACCTGCCGGAATCTCGGTCAGTGGCGATAACGTTGAGGATTTCTGTGCCGGGCTGTGCGTGGCTGCTGATGCTCATGGTGTACTCGTCGGGGTTGAACACCGGAGCGTTATCGTTCAAGTCTTCTATCTCAATGTGCACGTAGGTTTGAGCGCTCAGGCCTCCCTGAAAATGGAAAAGTAAGAAAGGAGCCTGTTAGGAGCCTGATCCTCTTTATGATCACTGTGCAGGAAGTCACTCATATGAAAAGCAAGGCCTGGTCTAGAGTATGCCGAAACAAATTATCAATCAAAGAAGCCACTCACTGGATCTTCAGCTTTGACCAGAATGTCGTGGACTGTCTGTCCCGCGTCGCGATCGATATCCTGAGAGACGCACAGCTCTCCAGTCTGGGGGTGGATTTGGAAGAGGGGGTGTTGGTCCTGCTTGTCAAAGCCATCAGACAAAGAGTAGAGCACTGTGCCAAAGTCTGGGCTGTCTGCATCTCTGGCAACAACCTAAAAGAAAAGAAAATTTAAAAAACCCAGAGTTGAAGATCTTAATCAACTAAAACACGATCATGAACATCTGAGAAGTCATAATGAAAAAACACAGACGGTGTGTTCAGTGTTCACCGTGAAGGTTGTATCTGAATTTCACAGATTAGATGTATTGCAACATCCTTTGACTGTAATTGCATAAAATGACTGACATCATCAAATAGCAGCCTTCAGACTGCCTGCTGTTGTCAACACAAGAGAACAATAAATCCTTTTATTTCAAAATAAAAGCTGCAGAGGATTTCCTCCTAAATTAAGTTGTTTGAATCTAACGAGCATCTGGTCAACACATCGGCACTGGGGACACGAATGGAGTCTGAATTATTATGTTTTTTTTTTTTTAAGACTTTAAATTTTGGATGAGAATGAAAACGTGTGAGGTAACTTCGTGTTCGTGTCAGAGTTGGTTTTTACTGTAGATAACTTTTCAGCCGGGTAATACTTCAAATAGAGATTCATCCTCAAAGAGTTCTCCCAAACCAAAAGGAGGCCACCACATTACTGTGCTTTGATCAAAGACACGGCTTTTAACTTTTACATGGAGCATAATCAACATCAAATATCTTCTTTCACTTTGTTGTGATTTATATTTAACTGTAGCCAAGATGAAAATAAATAATAGTAACAAATGTTTAACTTTCTATTAAAAAGTCAAATGACATCTAAATCTTTGAGAAGCTGGAACAAGTGACGTTTGGATAATCTTCGCTTGATAAATGGTTTCCAATGACTAGTAATTTCCCAGAATAGGTGTCCAGTAATTTTCTGACTAATTATTTCAGCTCCAAAGTTTCTATATATTAGTTTCCATATGTAGTATGTTTGATGCACTCATGTTGACAATTCATTCATTGATTATGCATAATGAAACTCATTCAGTATCTTTGTAGTATGTCATGCACCATGTAAAAGTGAAATTGTCAATGATTCCTTGTAACTGTAGATCTTTCATTAACAGTGCTGCGACACTGTAGTAACAGCATCATCTGCCTCTGTCGTAACTGAATCATTGTACTGTATTCTTGTTCCACCTGAAAAGGTCAACGCAATAAAAGCATTAAAAAAAAAAAACCCCATGATCAAAGGGTGAATGAGCGAGCGTCACTACGGCGGAAAAACAAGAGACAGCCACACCGCTGAGTGAAGACGCGTCTCAGATTCGACAGAGCTCTTTCATGTCTCCGTGAGCCCGTGACAGGAGACACACTTTACAGACCAACCGCTCACTTTCCAGTCATAAAGATGATATCACCTCAGGCTGCATGAACTCTGATCAGAGGAAGTCGTAGAGACACGGGTCAAGGTCTGATTAGACACATAAAACACCCCGGCATGCTTTGAGCTCACATTAGATCAGTGTGATTTTATGTAAGGTTACATGATCTGTAAAATATCACACATTAATATTCGGAGTCATGTTGAAAGAGTATTGCTTGAGCATCCTAATCATGGTCTGTTTCTTATTAATGATGGTTTTCGTACTGATCCGAAGCTGAGGCAGTGGAGAAGGTTATTTTATGGTTGTACAGCTGCCAAGAAAACAACTTTAAAATCCTGGATTTCTCATTATATCAATATAAAATCCTCCATAGCTGAGAGCAGGGATTCCATATTGAGGGACAAGGACAAGGACAATAATATACAATAATAACTGCATTAGTTTTGTTTGACTGCAGTCCTCCTGAAGGTCTCCTGTGTCTGTATTGTCTAGTGCCCTTCTGTTCGTTTTTGTTGACTCTTCTCTTTTGGCAATTGAAATAAATTTGAATGACATAAAAGTACATATCTATAAAATGATATTCATTGTTAGAGGGTTCATCATCTGTTTTCTGTTGCGTCAGTGTGAACTGCACAAACCACAAACCACACATGTACAGTTGCAGTGGCTAGATTTCTGAAGTCGCTTTTACTGTTACTCTTACTATTTACAAGTCTCCACTTCATCTGAGAATTTGCTGCTTTTCTTTTTTACTTAACAATACATTGAATATCTTTCGGTTTTGAACTGTTGAGGGACAGCACAAGCTAAATGTTTGTCACTATTTTGTTTGACTAAACTATTAATCTAAATAATGATACTGAATGAATGAATGAACGAATGGATGAATAATTAACAGATTAATCGATAATGAAAGCTGCCTCAGTAGCTTTCACTTTTCTTTTACCTCACTGGTTCACCATCCTGTTTCTGAGAAATGGTCACTATGACAAAACTCTTGAGGATTCGCTGTTGTCCATCACTTGCATATTAAAGGTGTATATGGAGCAACACCAATGTAACTGCATGTGTATAATCTCCTGTTCATGGAGGCTCTTTTAAAACAATTCCCAATTTATTTGATCACTTCCTTGTGACTCATTTTGCTTTGATCGAGTTCTTCACTTTCACACTCATGGTGTTTTGTTTTGCCATCGAACGAAAACTAAAGTAACACACACTCCAACGTTCAGCCTGGTGCTGGATCACTATACAGCAAGGAGACGTCACTGAAAAACTAATTTTACAATTCATTTTTTTGTCCATGTTGTCCATTAAATTTACAGAACTTGCAGTGGTAAACACAACTTCTTTTGTAATGGGCTTCAGCTTGTGCCAGGCAGCAGGAGTGTGGTACCAGGCATCACATCTGTCATGTCAAAGCCACAGTGCTGAACTGGAAAGGGTGTGCGTGCGTGTGTGTGTGTGTGTGTGTGCGTGCGTGTTGTGTGTGTTTAGGAGGAACACTGATGGCTTTGTGAATACAGACTGAAGGCTACTTTTGTCTTATGAGACGTACGAAAAAGGGACAGCAAAGACAGAGAGCACGAGATGTCGCATGTCCACAGTAGAGACTTGTTAAACTGCTCTGGTTCTTCTTTTCTTTTTTTTATACAACCAAGCTCGTTGATAAACTGTGTCACTGAGAGGAGTATCAAGTCCAGAGTAAAGCTGTCCACTGGACTGTGTCGTGGAGCAGCGGTACCATAATAATACCATATTACCATTTTAATAGTACGCAAAAGTGATTTTTGGTTGTCACATTAAAAGGTAAATGATCCAGTATTTCACAATAAAAGATCAGGGACTACAGTTTTGAATGTCTATGATGACTTCAACTAACATAGTGTCTCTTGTTTGTCTGAGCAGCCTCTGCCTCATCTGAATGGAGACCTACATTTCATACGTGTAGGCCTGAATAGGATGAGATAAAACTCGGGTCATTCGGCCTTCTTCTTCTTCTTCTTCTCTGTTCTTGAATGTAAACTGAATAAAAATAATAAAAAATAATAATTTTGTAAAGCAGAACTTTTTTCTTCTGCTGTGTCCAATAGTCTCACACTACATTAGATCTATATTATGAAAAAAAATTATCAAATTTATCAAAAAAATTGATTTTTCAGGACCCTGGATGACATCTTCAAAATAAAAAATTCCCCCAAAAAGGTCTTAAAACTATGCTGGGGTAGAGGCAGAAATCTCTGATCTTGGTCTGTGAGAACGTATGTTTTTGTAATTTGTGTGCACTGATCCTTTAAAAGGAAATATTATCCAACATACTTGTAAGAAGCAGCTTCCGGGGTCACTGTGCTCGGGTATGGACACGTTATACAGCTGCTGCTGGAACACCGGCTCGTTGTCATTGACATCCTCCACCAGCACAGTGACTGTAGCCGTGGATGACAGAGCTGGTTCTCCTCCATCTGTTGCCACCACCAGAAACCACACCTCCATCTGTGCCTCTCTGTCCAGAGATGCGGCTGTGGTGACAAGGCCCGACTCTGGGTCGATGCTGATCAGACTGTCCGGGCTGGACTTGAGGACGGAGTACCTGACGTCTGAGTTGACGCCTTCATCTGCATCTCGGGCCTGCATCTGGATTAGGGAGCTCCCCTGGGGAGCGTCCTCTGAGATGCTGATGACGTATACGTCTTTCTCAAACACCGGCTGGCAGTCATTGGTGTCGGCCACCTTCAGGAGGAAGACCGTCTCGCTGCTCAGGGGTGGGCTCCCAAAATCTGATGCTTGCACCTTCAGCTCATACAGATCTTTGTCTTCCCTGTCTAGCTCTGCGTTGACACACAAAGCGTACAGAAAATCATCTGTCTGCTTCAGGTTAAACTTCCCATCTCCTCCCTCAAGGGTGACAGTGACCCCCTCCTCCTCAAGGTCAGGGTCTGACACTGAAATCCGGGCGACATAGTCCCCAACTGCTGCTGCCTCTGACACCACCGCATCTCCCGTCTCACTGAGAAACAAGATGCTAATGGTGGGACTGTTGTCGTTGATGTTGAGCACTTTTACACCCACAAAAGTGCTGCTGTACTCAGGCTGAGCCCCGTTGTCACTCGCCCTGATGATCAACTCATGAAAAGCTTGGGACTCAAAATCAAGCGGCTTGTTGAGGTAAACCAGCCCTGTGGTTTCATTGATGGAGAAAACCTCATTGGGGTCACTCTGGCGCCTGTTGATCTCATAAGTTATTCTGCCATTGTCGCCCAGGTCCAGGTCTGTGGCGTGCACTTGACAAACGGCGGACATGACCGGAGCATCCTCAGGCACCGAGGTGTGATATTCAGTCTCACTGAACACAGGCGGATTATCGTTCTCATCCAGGACGTGGACGTTCACCTGAAGGGTCCCTGTCCTGGCCGGGATGCCGCCATCGAAGGCCTCAATGGTTAGGGAGTAATAGTCCAGTGTTTCTCTGTCTACTTTGCTATTAAGGATGAGATCCAGGGTCATGTGGTTCTCAGATCCGCTCCGATAATCCAGGTGGAACAACTCCCCCATCTCGCTCTCTGTGATCCTGTATCCCTGGGTACCAAACTCACCCACATCCTTGTCTTTAGCACCTTCAAGCTGAAACCGGCTCCCTGGGGGGCTCAGCTCTGATATTTCCAAGTCAACCACCCCTGAGGGGAACACAGGTGAATGGTCGTTCACGTCTTCCACCTCTAGTTTCACCTTGATCATCTCACCTGTGAGAGTGGCTGCAACGAATTCATACTTATCCCTGCTCTCTCTGTCCAGGATCACGGCTGTGGAGATGATCCCCGTGTCTGCGTCTATTTCCAGGTCTCTGAACACGTACGAGTCCCTGCTCTCTGAGATGAAGAATCCAGTACTTGGCTTCCTCAGCCCCGCGCCCAGATCTCCAACGATGGTTTTAGCGGGCAAGCCCTCTTTGACAGACAGCGTCAGGTTGAACACCTGTCCGAGTGACGGCGCGCAGAGCAGCCACAGGACGAGCGTCTGGAGGAGCCAAGCTGCGGCATTTTTGCGACCCATTCCTCCTTCACACATGACTCAAGAACTCTTCCTTTGAGAGTCCAATTAAGGCTACATATTTCCCTGCCAGACTCACACTGACCACTCACGTTTTAGAGGACTTTTCCAAACAAAACCAGGTAAACGCACGGTGCATTTTCGAGCGCGGGAAAGCAGCCCGCAGTCATTCCCCATCACAATATTTCAGCGGCTTATTGTTGCGTGATTTTGAAGACTTGGAGTCCACACATCCAGGAGCGCAAATCCCCTTTGGCTTCTTCTTCTTCTTCTTCTACACATCACTGCACCGAGTGGCCACAGAGTGCCAGCCGCGCCGCAGTTGAACACACCTCCTGGCAGGCGGCACGTCCCACGCTGATCGGCTCCATCTGTGGACCTGATTGCTTAAGATTTAATTAGGCCGGGAGATTACCTTCAGTGCCGCGTGCTGACAGGTGGCATAGTATGTTTGACCTGTGGGAGATCATAAAGGGAGAAGGAAAGTGGAGGAAATAAAGATAGAACTCGTGAGGAATCTATTCTTATCAGAAAGTCCAGCTAACTCAATCTATGATTTAAGTCTCCTTATTTTGGTGAAGTATATAGAAGAAATCCAATTTACTAAGCGGTTTAACGAGGTCCTTTTGGGGTTTGGCGCAAGGCCGTATAGTGTTAAAGTGGCTCCATCTACTGGTACAAATAAAAAGGGGAACTGCAGGTCCTGCGCAGTAGTGGAGCACTTGCAACAAACAAAATTTCAAGTAGGCCTAAGTCAAATAAGTGTCATAAAGATTTAGAGCAAGTGCAGTGATGAAATAAAAAAAAAAGAAATAAAAAAATTGCTGTTGAAAAAGACTTTGTTGTTGTCTAAATGAATAGAGTTTACACCTTTACAGACACATACATACATTTAAGTTATGATTTTTCCCCTCCTGTTTTTACTCTCCATTAATTGTTTAATTAGTATGTGTTTTTATGGAAATCAATCAGTTTGTCAACTAATTATTTCACTGTATGATGCATATAATAATAAAGCTTTCAATTTAAAATGATTTCACTCTAAATTGGTTAAATGTACTGTAGAAATGTGCACATTTAGTTTATAAACAGGAATATCATCTCTACAAGTAAAAGAAAACTGAGTAAACATAACAAAATAGAACATGTGTTCAAAATTACTTTTTAAAATTATTTTACATTCAGTGTTGCTGTAACATTGAATTTAAATAAAAAACAAATCAACTTTGACTATGTTGACTGAATGTGATATATGTCAAGTGTTTCTTTTCTCAAGTTCTCAAATATCTACATCTGAATGACATCATCTATTTTACTGAGCAAAAACAACACCAGATATAGAAAATGTTAACTTCTATATCAATGCATTTTCTCAGGATTCATTCCTTAGTCACAGCTCTATAGACGATTTGATTGTTATTGTGTGCCCCCGTTTTACTCCTGCAGGCCGTAGTAGCCACACCATGCGTCGTCCCACCGGTGCAAACAGGCACTGTAACCAGGCAACAGATGTAACCTGGGAACCACACCTGAGTAAACAAGCTGCATAACTACTGACTCTGCTTTTGTCTTGAGTTGGTTTGTTGAGCAAACTGAAAAAAAAATCTTGCCTCAGCAGCTTCACGCAGGATTATTTTCAGATCAACTTGAGTTGAAAAGAGATTTTTTTAAAAAATGCCGTCTCATATTATGCTCTCGTACCAGTGGGATGACCAGGCTCTTGTGAAAAAGATCTACGACCGGCTGAAAGATGATGGGCTGCCAGTGTGGATGGACATCGAAGGAGGGGTGACTGGGAACATCAACGATGCGTAAGTACAAAGGAATGTGGTTATATATGTTTTGACATATGTCTTTACATCTCGGATACACCATACATTATATACATATATTCACTCTTTAAACAAAAACCGTGTGTTTTGTTTTCAGCATGGCTGCAGGTGTGGAGGAGGCCGCAGTGATTTGTCCGGTCATGACCCCAGCTTACCAGGCGTCCCGTAGCTGTAAGAAGGAGCTCAACTACGCAGACAGCAGGGAGGTGATGATCGTGCCGGTCATGCTGGCCAAGAACTGGGAGGCCAGTGAGTGGCTGGGCCTGATCACTGCGGGCCTGCTGTGGGTGGACTTCAGGTGAGGAGCCGTCTGAAAGTGACAGGTGAAAAAAAGTTAACGCCCCTTCAAAGGGTTTGAGAGGATAAAGAAATAGTTTCAGTGAGAAGAGCATACTCCAAAATCATGTCATTGTAAATAACCATATGTAAATCTTATAATTGCGTTTTAATATCATGAAGATATTTCAGTATTCTGCTGTAGGAAGCCTTCACACCAAAAAAAAAAGGAATGACGCGTTGAAACAAACAATCTGCCGTTCATGCCGTCATCTTCTAGAGATGCAGAAAAGGATGAGGAGCTCTTTGAGATGTGCCTCAGGTCTCTGGAGGAGGAGATCATGTTTAACGCCGGTCACCTCCTGGCGGTGGAGGAAGCTCCCAGAGAAGAGGTGGATGAGCCGGAGCCGCCAAAACCCCGCCTGAAGAAGAAACCGGGCCGAGGCTTTCGCCATGGCCTCTCAAAGCTCTACATTCACGAATCAGGTACATATGGACACTGAACACCAACAATGCACTTCGAAATACCACTTAAACGACTGCTTTACTCAAATTACAGAAAAACAAAACTTCTCAGTCACCCAGAGCCACAAGGATTTTAGAGATACTGAGGCTCAGATTTAAATACATTCAATGCCTGAGAGGATAAATACCAGCTGTAAATAGCATCATTTGGTTTGATATGATGGAAATCTTAAGGATAAAAACTTTCAAATGGAGCAAATGGTCACAGAACATTCCCCCCCATTTCATTTCCTTGGTACTAGATAATATTATTCTTTTTAGGAAACATCTAAAGAAAACTATTAGGAAATTAGGAACCTGTAAAATAAATAATTATCATTATACAGTATATTAATATAAATATATACTTTTTTTTCATAGCCCTCTCCACTGTGCCAGGAATACAAAATTTGGTAGAAAATACTTTATAAACCTTTATTTATTCTATTAGCTGAATCTAAAAAATGGAAAAATTACATCTAAAAACTGTACAGGAATGTGTCTTTACTGACACAGGTGTTAAGAGTTGTTTTGAGAAACTAGTTCCAATGAAAACTGTTCACAGTGAAGTCTCTGGAACATTGTGTAAACCATCCAGTAACTAGAACATCATTTGTAAGAAGCTGTTGTTGAGGTTTTAAAAAGCTTTGGTGAGATATTATTTCTGTGTACTGGTGTGAAGCGATGTGCTCCTGAGACTTGCACACTGAAACCAAACTGCGTGGTTAACAACGCTAGCATAAATACAATCTGTTATTCTTAAAACAGTGTTATGCTTTCTCTTGCGTCATGACTCGTGTTTACAGATGAGCAGATAATCCACCCGACTAATGACAGCAGAAACACAGTGGAGCTCGATGAGACACCTGGAGATCACTGTCACTGGGAGGAGATCAAGGGTCACGGCTGTAAATACTACAGGAACATTGTGACTAACAGATACCTGGGTACGTACAGAAATTCATCAGGAATGTGAAAAATGTGGTCTTTATTAAATGGAGCAAAATAAATTTCACATTGCAAGCCAGAAAAAAAAGGGGGCAATGTTTGTTTCCAAGCCTGTACAACTCTCGAGTCAATACAAAATAATATTTTTTTCTACCACTTTTTCAACGCGCCGTCTCTCCCTCTGCAGGGTTTGACCCGAGCAGGAACGAGGTCCACTCCGAGGCCAGTCCTTCTGTGTCTGAGGAGTGGCTGCTTTTGGTGGACGAGACAGACCAGAGCCACCAGAGGGCCGTCATTATCAAGAACAAACACTCGGGGAGGTTCCTGGCCGTGCAAAACGGCCACCTCACTGGACTAACATCGTATAATCAAGACTGCAAGTGGTTTTTAGAATAAAGCAGACTAATCGATTCTTTTTTTAAAAGACGTGGTCGCCTCTGTCAAAGACACATTTGTTATGAAGAAATCTGCCTCATGAAAAAGCACTAAACAACCATAATTTGATGGGTGTATCTAATAACAGGAAGTTTGGTAGAAATAAAATTCAAGATTTAATTTTGTTACAACGACAAGAGCAACAAATAAAAAATAAAAAAAAATCCTTAGAATCTTTTTCTCTTGAGGATCTCTGGTTTCCAGTTGATGGGATGGCTTTCTTCCGTCTGCAAGAAAGAAAAACAAAAAACAGATTTATCAAATTATCTGGGAACTAGCACAGAAATATAAATCAACTTCAAATATGATGGTGAAACTTACAGCAGTGTCGTCCTCTTTGTATACTTTAATGGTCTTGTCGGCCTCGGCGGTGATCAATCTGCTTTCGGAGTGGTCGAACAAGCAGGCAAAGATGCCCGACTCACTGTCCAGAGATCCAGGCTGCACAGCTGCATGAATCCTCTGGAAGTTGTAGCCCGTCCTCCAATCCCACATGTGGATGGTTCCGTTGTCAGCTAAAGAGAAAACACAAATGTGTGTGTGATGAGTCTGTGTTCCTGATGCAATAATGTAGCCGCACCTGTATAATCAAGTCAACACTGACTCAAATAAAAATATATACTGACTCAAACGTCTATTATCTGTGTGAAAAAAATGTACTTTATGGGAGGAAAACAACGATGTAGGTAGTTATTAATACCTCCAGACACCAACACGCCATCGGAGTTAACAGCCAGAGTGTTGATAATAGCGTTGTGGCCTGACAGGTTCTGGATGAAGTTGCCATCTGGGAACATCCACTGCTTGATGTTGTCAGCAGAACCAGACGCAAACGTGTATCTGTAAAAAACAAAAAAACAAAAGAGGAAATAAACAAACTCTTTTTGTTTCTGTCATGGTGTCACTGAAGCATTTTGAACCCCTGGTGTCGAACGTCTTACTGTGCCTGGTAACCATGTCATTCCAGTACAACTGCCACAAATGATTATATTCATTATTACTTAACCT